CAATGTGTATATATGTTAATACATTATGTGCACATGCATTTTTTTTCTGTGAAATATTTCAAGTCAACAACTGATTTTCATTGGAGCAATAAACAGCATTTATTTCTCTACAAGTCTATTTTAATTACCGATTTTTAGTTCTAAAAATTCCCATGGTGAGCATTCACTTCTGGAAAAATCATATACAAAGCAAATAAAACCTCTTGCGCCATCCACTGCCTCAACTAGCTAAATAAAACAGTAGATGGAGCAGGTCATTTTGTTCAGCTAATGCTGTATATGTGCATACTATACTGATCAACTTAAACCTGTGGTGAATATTAAACCAATTCCATACTTTAACATTACAGAAAAATCTGTTGTAGTTTTCTCTTTGTTATTACTAATTCTTTAGTCTAGTGCGGTGCTTCCCAAAGTGGGCGGCACTGCTCCCTGTGGGGCGGATGACTTAGGGAGGCACTAAGAGGCAAGAGGGTGGCAGGGGGGCGTTAAGAGGCAAGGAAGGACGGTAAGGGGACAACCTGAAGGGGACATTCTCCTAGCAGCGTCTCAGGCAACTTTCTCTCTTGCCGCACAAGGAAGCTGGGTTTGGCCTTGAAACTTGCTGTTCCAGCAATCTGAAGGGGGCATTCTCCCAGGAGCGTCTCAGGCACCTTTCTCTTTAAGTGTCATCTTAATCAAATGAATGATAGTTTATGTAACAAATCATGATTAAATGAGTCATTGCTTAACACAATGCAGCAAAAGAATTTCAGAAGAAAAGCTTCACATGATTTTATTTCCCTCTGGACAGGGTGATTAGAGATTTTAAAACATGTATTTTACTTACCCAAAACAATAATTTGCTCATGAAGATTGTATAACACCTGCTCAGATTCTGGAACCGGAAAACTTTATGGAAAGGGTCTGGAAGAGAGATATGGTTATTTTTATGCCTTGCACATATTCCTTTGGTTCAGAAGTTTAATCTGTGCGCCTTCTGACTTTTCTCCCACAGGAAGCAATTCTTCAAGATCAGGAAAGGCTGAGAGATGAACAGCAAAATGTTCAGCAGTGCAATCAGCAGCTCATTTCTGTAATGCAACAACTCAAAGGAATGTGAAACGTTTGCTGAATGAAGCCTGATCACACAACACAGTGTTGCTTCAAACGGATGAGCTGTTATGTATACTGGGACAAAAGATCCTGCTACACTACCAATTAAAGCTCGATCTTGCTGAGGTTCATTCAACCCTAGGATTCTGGTTCCATTAAATTCCCACTTGCTTTTAAATACATTATAAATTTTTGATGCTCTGTTTTTTTTTTAAAAAAAAAACAGATATGTAGACGAGAGCGCCTGAGGTGTTAAATAATGAGGAGGATAAATATACTGAAATACTGCTTATGCTTTTTGTATAAAAGTTTGGATCGTGTGTTTCCGTTCACAAGGCCAGCAGCACATGCTACAAGCTTAAAAGGGGAAGGAACTTCAGTAGTTCAATCATGACTTCCAGTTTGTCTCTCCTGCTGATGCGCCTAATTTTTCTTTTAAGATGTGTATAAAGAATATGCTATCATTCTTTAATAGCCACATTTCTGATTATCAGAGTAATGGTAACCAATGTTTTGGCTTAGGATTTAAAAAGGGGGGGGGTTATTAGGCTTCAGTTCTTAATAGTATATAACAACCCGCTTCCCCTTCCCCATATATGGTTATTCAGATGTCAATCCCATTGAGATAGCTCTAATTCTGCAAAATTAATAAATATATCATTATTATTTTATCATCCCATTGACCAACTGATGAAAACATATTGCTTTTCCTGTTTTGCAGCTGAAAGTTGAAATTAAAGACATAATGTTTCGATAAAATTTACCCAATAAACAAGTGACTAACTGTATACTTCAGTTACCTCGACTCTCCTGTATCTTATAGTTCCTTCACTGGACACACAGTAGCTTGGACTCCAGCCTCAAAAGTCCGTAGAAAAAATGTTTAGAAAATCATTCTAAACAGTGTAAAAGATGAACCTATAGGTGGAGGGAAGATAAGGTGGACAGTACTTCAAATTTGATCTCCACTTCAGAACATGAATCTCCTGTCTATAGCACCTTAAAGATGTAGCTTTGGCACTGTGCAGCCTCAATATGGTGTTCAAATTGCTAAGAGGGATGGAATAGATATCTATCTCTTTTGAAATAAATGTCTTCCTTCCCCTTTCAACAACTAAAACATAAACATCCCCTCGAAGCACTACTACTATTTTTTGTTTATTCTTCCTCCTTCTCTTCTTCTTCTTCCTCTTCCTCCTTTACCTCCTCCTTCTCCCCCTCTTCNTACCCCCACAGTATTTGTTTCCAGAGAGTAAGTCATCTGTGTACCAAGTTTGGTTGAAATTGCTCAAGGCGTTCCAGAGTTATTCTGGGACGGACGGACGGACGGACGGACAGACAGACAGACAGACAGACAGACAGACAGACAGACAGACAGAAGGAAGATTAGACTTGTACAGAAACAAAATGAAAGAGAAAAACCATCAGTTTCCCTAGTTGAACAGAGGAAAATTCTCCATGGGAGGAAGAGGCTTCCTTGGACTCAAGCCCTATATACAATATCACTCTTTAGTTACAATAAAAAATAAAGGTGAATTAAATTCATGGGGGTGGAGGCAGTGTCAAAATCCAAAAGAAGCATCTCAGCTTTTAAGAAGAGATTGGATAGCCATTTGTCTGAAATGGTATAGATTCTCCTGCCTGAGCAAGGGACTGGACTAGAAGACCTCTAAGGTCCTTTCCAACTCTGTTATTCTATTATTCTGTTAGCTGCACAGTCAAATGGCCTTCCCTTTTTATGTGTGTGGCAAAGGAACAGTCCTTCAATTGTATGGGATTTGTTACCTTCTTCATTCCCCCCATCCCCAAATCCAATTGGAAATAGGCAACACGGATGAAGGTAAAATTGCCTTTAGATCAACTTATGGTACCCTATAAGGGCAGATCCATGTTCTTTTCCTGACAACAGTATAGAGGAGTTTGTCATCATCTTCTCCAGCATATATTTCCCAGTTGAGATCATATTTTGAAGATATTTTCTATTTTAATTAGACCAGTGTAAAAAATAAGTTAAAACAATATCCCTGATCAATTCCCTTCTTAGCTATCTACAGGCTATATTCTGGTGTTCTTGCTGAGTAAGACTTTTTCCCCCTCCAAACAAAATAACATTAAAATATGAGACATGTATGTATGTGAGTTTAATCAACATAAAACTATAGCAATATAGTACATGTTCATGGTACTTCTTTCAATTACGGAATATATATATGAATGGATGTATATAGCTATTTCTATATATCTGTTCTGTACATTTGTTTGTGTTTGTTTGTTTGCTTGCTTTTTTAAATAAAGCACAATTCTTATTTTTTAACATTTCAGGATAAAAGCTGAACTAACTCAGGCAACCAAGGCTTTTCAGCATGAAAAAGATCAGTATGACAAAAACCTGGAAAACCAGCAGAAGGTAGGGTTTATTATTAGTTAGTATTATTAGTTAGTATTAATATTATTTCTGTTAGTACTAGTGTTGCAAATCGGGGCTACCTTCATTGCTAATTCCGTCAAGACCTTCAACAAGCTAATATCTCCTGGGAGACCCAAAATAAAATTATACTTAATAACTAATGCAATAGATTCAATATTTTTGAAGTCTATACCATTCCAAGGCAAACAAATAAACACTTGACATTTAATAGTTAAAATTAGCAGTCATACAGAACTCCAAGGCAATTAATAATCCATGGGGAAATTGATACATTCACTTCAGTGAGAGTTAAGACCTGCAGTGAACTCACAGAAAAGTATGGATCATTTTTGTGGAGTCTGCCAAGTTATTATTGGCAGGAAAATAAAAGGAAAAAGAAGATGCAAAAATGTCTTGCCATAGCAAGGGATGGGGAAAAAGTTTAAGGCTTCTTGTTATAGCAGAGAACAAGAAGTTTATAACATGCAGCATTCATAAAAAAACCTACACACTCTATGAGTTACACTTTTGCACAAATACCACCTCTCTTGGGAAGGGAGAATAAAATAGAAAGATTATAGTCCTGTGGGGGGGGGGGAAGGGAAAAATGAGGATTACTCAACCAAAGTTATCTTAGGTCTCTGATGGCAAACCAATGGCACGCATGTCCAGAGTGGCACGCAAAGCCATGTTGCCCGGGACGGGCGGCCCTGCCTGTTTGTCTTCTGGGTTTCTGGTATGCATGCCAGCACAATGATCAGCTGTACTTCTCACATGCTGAAAACCGGTGTGGGCATGTGTGGTGGCCACTGATTGTCAGTTGCGCCTGCATGCCAGAACCCGGATGTTTGGCTTTTTTGGAGTGCAATCCCTTTGTGCACATGGAAGTGCCAAAAACTGGCCTGTGCATGTGCACCGGCCGTCTGATTGTCTTGTACGCATGTGCGCTAGAAGCCGGAAGTTCAGCTTTTCCGGAGTACAGCCCTGACAAGCATGCGTGCGCACACACGTGTGATGTTTCTGTGCAACCTTTTTGGCGCTCGGTGCCGAAAAGGTTCGCCATCACTGCCCTAGGTTTTTTGAAAGCTGGTGTAGTAAGAAAAGACGTATTGATTGTCATGATCTCTCCTGGAGGGAGAGAGAAATTTGAGTCTATGGATACATCTTCCCATTGCCTTTATCTCATTGTCAGTCACTGAATTCCTAATTCTTTAAGTTCAAGCACCTCTGGTTACGAGGAAGAACGAGTAGAAAGGCTTTAAAGGCTGAACAAGAGCAAACCCCAAAGAGATGGAAAACCCTAGAAAGATAGAGAAAACTTATATTTAAAAATATTTCAACATAACATTAACATTTTAAAAAATTACATATTAATAAAGGAAAATGCAAATTTATAAAGATCATATTATAGCACATGCAAGGAATAGAATCTGGTGTCTGGGCTGGTGAATGGTTACTGCCAGGCAATATTGATCTTTAAGTGTCAAAAAATTCACTGGACATGTCAAACATACGGTATTTTTTTTGTATCTGCCATTGTTTTACTACACTCCACTAATCAGTGGTGTGAAGGGCAGAAGATAAGAGAATGTTTTTAACAGTCTTAGGTCACAGTTGCTTGGATAGATCATCCTTGAAAATCTTGGACTTCCTATCTTTGACTAGAGTAAGAAAACTGAGACAAAGTAATGATGCCAGTGAGGAAGGGGAAATAGCATTTGCTTAGCACTACTTACAGCTGCATTCCTTTAGATAGCCTACACTTGTTATAATTGTTAACAAAGCTGGGGAACTGATGTGAATTAGATGGTGTATTTATGTAGTTGGTAGATGGTGGTAAATATTCTTAACTTTCTAATAAAGATTTTTCTTTCTTTAACTCAGGAGCTACAAGTGATGCTAGAAAAACACAAAGTCCAAAACGAAGCATGGCTCAAAGCCAGAGCTGAGGAGAATGACAGGGAAAAGGAGGAACTCTTCAAACTGAGAGTAAATATTTACAAAACTCAAGAGAAGGGTAGAGGCTGGCAAGTTTCCCAACATTTCCTTATCCTCTTTCCCCTGAGTTGCTTTTGATGTTTGACATAAAACAACTCCCTGGAACAAAATTTCAGCCCTGCAAGATAAACATAGTACCCATGTTTCAAAACTAAAACCAGTTTGATAAAGCTGCTGCATTTGCTGGAGCTTGGGAAAGTTAAGATAAATTGTGTTTTGAGAAATAATATTGTTTTTTCTGTTCAGTGACATTGAACAAGACTCTCACTGCCATCTAGATTAAAAAAATTTGGCCTAATTGCAATGATATCCCTGAAGGATCTATTAAAACAACACTCAGAAGGTCCCTGTTTCTATTGAAATTGTAGTGTGCAGTCCTACATTAAAAAGAGCTTTGTTTCAGTCTAAACCACAAATTTTGGTGAGAGAGAGAGATTAATAGTATTTTCTGAGTAATGGATTCAAAAATAATATTGTTCATATCATTTTTATGATTTCACTATTGTTAAGCAGCGTTGCAATCTGGCCAGACAAATCCAGTTATTGGACAGCTAAAAGATTTAAATACAAGAATATTCCCTAGTGGAATATTAAATTACATATTTGTTCCATTTGTGTATTGAGTTGGGCTGGGGGATCTATTTTGGATGCAAACTGGAAGAGTGGAGCAAAATATTCCAGTCTTTTTAAATTATACAGCTGTAAGTTTTCCTCAGTTTGGTTCCAGGAGTGGACAGAAAGTGAGCAGGGAGAAAAGATCTTAAAACTATATCATGGTCTAGGGAAAGCTATAAGGTGAGTCTATGAAGGCACATCTCAGTCCTAGTTTATAAGAGAAAAGATTTTAAAAGTTAATATACCAGTACATCCAATAGTCCCAAATATCAAGTATGACTCAAGTCTGTTTTCTATTTTTGCTGTTTCTAAATACATTTTCAGTTTTTCATCATAACAATAAAAGTGTATCACAAACAATGATTACATTTTAAAGTAAAGATGATCTCTCCACAGCCTTAAGCCTTAATAAAACTCTAAAAATTCATTTTACTCTTACCAAAACCACTTCCAGCTAAGAGGTAGTATTCAGCAGGTTCTGACCAGTTCTGGAGAACCAGTTGTAGAAATTTAGAGTACTTCAGAGAACTGGTAAATACCACNCCAAGCCAGTCTATTCACATAACAAAGACCCCACCCCATCAACTCCAGGGTGATGGAATCAAGGCATGTTAGTATAAGCCCTTCACCCAACTGACCACATGGCATCTGAGAATTCAACTAAACCTGGACTCAGCCTAGAGAGTTGCCCCTGCATGGCCCCCTGTGAGTCTGACAACCAATCAGAATACATTTCTTGCAAAGGAGCAAGAGGCAGATAGGTGGGGCCAAACAGATTATAAAAAGCCCCTCCCTCGGCCCTTCTTCTTCACCCAACACCTGGAAGCATATGATCACCTTTTCCCCCAAGGACCTCAAGCCATGTGGTCCTGTGTACCATTAAATCATCTTTCTAAGCAGCCTCCATGTTTCCAGTGTCCTTTTCTTGGCATCCAGGTTCTGTTGTCAAAAAATGTTTGCAATGTCTACTGGTCTGTCTCGGGGTATTTCCTCAACTTGATCGTTGGAATTGAATATGTCAGTGCTGACGGTGGGCTGTGGTCTACAACTGCAGGTTTGGCATGTGTCCAATGAATCCAGGAGTCCTTCTCAGCAACCCGGATGGCTGTTTCTGTGGTCAGCAAGACTTGGTAGGGCTCTTTCCACTTAGGTTGTAGGGGCGAGGTCCTCATGAAGAATTTGATCCACACCCAATCTCCTGGTTCAAATGGGTGCAGGGCTTCCTCCAAGGGCAAGGTCTGTGTCAAGGCAGTTTGAGTCCCTAGGATCTGCAATCTTTTGTGTAATGCTGAAAGATAAGAAGAGAGAACCATATCTCCCTTTTCGAAACAGAGGGAATGTGGGTCCAGGCCTTTTAATGTATCTCTGGGGGTCGGCCAAAAAGGATCCCAAAGGGGGAGACTCCTATATCTCATCTGGGTCTAGTTCTAATGTAAAAGAGTACACCTGTGGCCAGGAAAGGTGTGTCTCCTGGCAGAGTTTGCCCAGCAGGGTCTTCACCTCCCTGTTGGCCCACTTGGAACTGAACCCAGAAGGACATTTTTTCCAACAGAACTAAATTTGCAAATATACGTTTTTTTAAAAAAACTGGCAAGACCTCGAAGGGACACAGACAACAACAACTGAAATTGTATCTTATTGTACTTAAAAAAAACACAATAGCCATAAGAGCCAATTGGTAGCTTCTCGGTGAGCAGGAATCATAGTTCTGTGAAGTTCTTGGTGTGCTTTGAATTTAATTGTTTGGTTGCAGCTATTTCATTACCTAATTAGGTAACAACCTCAGGTGGAGTGGTGTTGGAAAGAAGTGGTGTTTGCTCTCTATTTAGGTACAGTACCTTACCCTGTCAGTGTTGATGAGGATGCTGCTTTCTTCTGAGCAATTCCAAGTTTGTCTGTTGTTCTTTTATTGCTCAGTTGTTTGTCTTCTGTTGATCGTGGTGTTAATCCCTAATCCCTTCTGAATGGTTGTTCAGAATGTATAGCTAATCTGATCTCGAAGCTTTCCTGCTCTCTTGCAGTGTTGCCTTCTTGGAGGGGGAGATTTGGATTCCCTCTTATCTCTAGACCTCGTAGTGTCCACTGATGACATGTTTATTTATGTCCTCTGAATTCCTGCTCTCCCATTTAACGAAGTCTGGCAGGTTAAGGTGGAATCTTCTGGCCACTAACTGCTTTGATATCTGGCATGTGTATCAATGCCAGCGGAGAAGTTCAAAAACAGAGAGCGTTTCAGGTCGTATTCAACTGTTTTGTGAAGATTTTACAAGGTGGAAATGCTGTGGTATAGAAGCGCCCTTTCTTTTCACAGAGGGTTAGAGACTAAGTGGTCCAAAATACTGGGAATTGCCATTGATAAACTGATGCACATTAACTGATGGAAGTAATAAAAATATTGTTTCTGTGGATGGAAGTCAAAAGTATAGTGGTTTGTGGGACAGATCAAGTATAGTGGTATGTGGCAGACAAAGAGGGACAGCTGACATGTAAAAGATATGTCAGTCTAGGATGGGGGGGGGGGTCTGGGAAAATTTTCAGAAAGGACCCTCTCTAGTTTTCCACAGAACAAAACAAAAGGAAGAAGAAATACTTTCAGTCTTGCAAGATTGTGTTAATATAACCTTACAAAAAAGACAGTTAATACTCAGAGTTGTGTTCCTAGCTTGAGCTATCTCCAAGGGCTACACAAAGAGATACAAGCTGCTTTGTGAATAATCGTGGGGAGTTATGGCAGAATCCGAGAGCAGAGAAATTCTGTCTGTAATAACAGCCAAAATGTGAACTTTCAGAAAACAGCTCAGGAGACCCAAAGAATCTGAAATGCAACCATAATAAAAGTGGAGCTTCAAGATAACATCCTTGAAGAAATATAAATATATAAGAAAATCGATGCTGGTGAAAAGAAATATTACAGATTCTGTAATAAAATCTGGCTGTCCAACAGTCAAGAGTGTAATAATGATACAGAATAGATAAAAAGATAATGAGATTCAATAAGCAATTTGCAGCTAAAAGCGTAATATCCCCTTAATTGCTCACCTCTGTTAAAGGTGATATTTGGATATCAGAGTGAACATAGCACTTTATAAGGATAAAGATTTAGGATAAATCACCAAGGGAAAATGATATTAATTGCACGTTAAAAATTGTTGACCCATTTTAAAAGGTCTTACAGGCTGAGGTTAGCAATGAAATAATTTCTTTGAAAAAGTAAACAGGAATCGAATACATTCAGACCAGATCTTGTTGCTGGTTTTTTTGTTTTTTAGAAAAGGCAAACGAGAAGAGAAATCTTGCTACATTGGTGAAAGTCAATTACGATAAACCTACATAATATTATGCTGGCCTGCGAATCTAATCCTTTGGTACTAATACGATATGACTGATCTTGGAATACTTTTACGCTCAGTAGAATGGGAACAGAAACTTTATTTTACTTCAGAGAAACATTTAAATTTATATTGTCACTTAAATACTCCACAAGGCCCTTGTTTCAAAGATTTGTAATGATATTTTTTTAAAACAAAATGTGTCCCATCACTTATAAATTCATGACTTAGCTGAAACAGAACAACTGTAAATCATTTTATTGATTAATTAATTGAATTTATATGGCCACTCATCTCACTTGTATGTGACTCTGGGCAGCATATGCAATTAAAACACAACTAACTATCATAAAACTCAATCATTAAAGTCAATTAAAAACAGTCAAAAGCTATAATAACAAAAAGAGGGGGGAGTGCAGTCTGAACTTATAAACAGTACAATTGTTTAGAGTGTTTCACACTTCCCAGGCCTGATGGCAAAATCAAGTTTTGATGGCCTTCTGGAGATCAACAGTTCAAATTCTCTTTATCTTTAATATAGATAAATAGTTCCCAATGTTTCCTTGACCATGGTGGTATGCCAATGATTTACTGAATAAGCTACAATACAAAATCACATGTAATTATAAACCAAGGTTTACAAACCCCAAAAGTCATATACAATATTATGATAAAACCAAACAAACTGCATTATGGATTACCATGATGGTTTTATATTCAACACAATTTACTAATAGGTGCTGGTACACAAAAGAGAAAGTGCAATGCAGTTTCATGATCAATAGGATTCTCAGAATTTGGCTAGTGTCTTTTATTTAAAATTTAGCAATTATAGCATCACATAATAGTGGTCATATCTAATTGCAACCAGAATGAATTATTTGCACCTTGCACTACTTCCCCCTTTCCTCTCTGAATTTTATTTCCACTTGTATTTTATACATTACAACAAACTCTAATAAAAACTGTAGTGTGTATGTGTGTCTTATTAGAGTTTATTGCTTATATGATTGTATATTGTATTCAGGTTTGCAGTAGTTTATTGTGTATGGTGGTGAGATCTGTTCCTCCTAGTGGTAATGCTGGATACTGCCCACCTGCCAGGTGGTGTTGAGCTCAATACAGACCCTACCAACAGGTGACAAGCCAGTCAGGCAGGTTTTTTTGTCGCCATCCATGTATCTATGATCAAAATGCAGACATGACCTGGATGCTGTGTTTGATCATGCAAAATCTTATTCCTTGATCCAAAAAGTAGACTCTGCTCCTGGGGGAAAAATTCTAGGAAGGAGGAGGAGGAGGAGGAGGAGGAATGATTTTATTGCATACATAATGATCTTGCTTTCATTTACTCAAAAGTAACTATCTGGAGTTCTACCCATNCAGGGCAATAAAGATTAAGCTAGAAACAACAGCAGAATGTTTCCTTCCTGCCTTCCTTATAGGATTAGCCCTGTAAAGCGGGGAAAAAAACCAAAAGATTATTTCTTCCAACAACCGGTTCTCTGAACCTCTTAGAAAGTTAAAAACCGGTTTTCTCAAATACGTGCGAACTGGCTGAATCCCACTACTGGTATCACTTGAAAATTTGATGAATTCCCCGTCTATCCCCTCATCTAAGTCATTATAATACAGCTTTACCCACTTTTGATTCTTGCATGGTGTTTTTCATCCTATTCCAGCAGTCTTTCTTTAAATAGTATCTAAGCCAGTCTACTCATGATTTTTTTTTACAACAAAAGTAACATTTCTTGTATTTCTCTGGTTCTTTCTCTGAATACGTAATGTATTTATTAGCGTCACTCTGTATGGGAGTTTACTCACATAGAGGCTTCGCAATGCTTTGCTACTGTCCAAGAGTAGGGAGGAGATAATATCAGCCTAACTATGCTATCTCCCTAGTATTCCCTTGACATGCTTCTGGAACAGGTCCATACTGTGGGGTTATCAGTACAACTCCTCTAAGAAACACCGTAAGATTAGCAATTGGCATTTCTTCATGGGTGAAATTCAAATGTCAGTAACCATGGGAATAGCAGTCAGCAATCTCCATATAAAATATCTGTTGGATAGTACCGTGGAGAATAAAGAGGACGGTCTTGAGAGAAAGAAGAAAAGTATAGATTAAGTCTGGCACATGTACAAAGCACACACAAACATCTCAGAGAGAGATCTTCCTATTTCATATGGTTATAAAAGCAGAGGGGTGAGAGCACAATCAGACTGACAAGCTCATGTTACTATAGTCTATCTAAATAAAAGTAGTATTTAGTCTCCTGTGGAGTTTATTTCCTGCTCTGGTCTCTTCATAGGACTAACAGGTAATCTGTACTGGTCCAATACTTTTCCCATTTTTCCCCAAAGGACTCTCATTCGATCAACTACTTAACACTAGAAGCCAGCAAAGGATTCACGTCTCTTAATTTCAGCGTAATGGTCATCTGGATGTATGCTGCAGGTGTTCTTGCAACTTTAGGACTTATAGACTTCAACTCCCAGTATGGCAGCTGGCTAAAGAATTCTGGGAGTTAAATTAAGAAAGGGTTTTATTAGGCAAATGTTCGTCTCTCAGCACAGCAACACAATTTATCCAAAATGGCTATAGAACTGTCAGTCAGTTCTACCTTATCCACCACTTGGTGGCAGCAAAGAGTCCGGGGTTTTTTTCTCTTACAGGTAGCCCCTGATTTACAATCATGAGATCAGAACTTCTGTCACTAAGTGATGCAGTCTTTAAATGAGTGACACTGCATTTTATGATCTTTTTTACCACAGTCATTAAGCAAATCACCACAGTTGTTAAATGAGTAAAGCAGTTGTTAAGCAGATTTGCATCCCCCCCATCAACTTGCCTTGCCAGAAGTCTCCTGAGAAGTTCACAAATGATGACCATGTGACCACAGGATGCTGCAAGTGATCCAATTTTCATCATGTGACTGTAGGGATGCTGCAATGGGTACAAGGGGAGGACCAATCATAAGTTACTGTTTCCAGCACCATGGTAAATTCAAATGGTTGTGAGTCAAGTATTACTTATAATTACCACCTTGTGATTTGGGTTTACACAGCTGAGGCACAGCTGATGGGCACAAGTTGTTGAAAGCTGGCATAGAGATATCATTTTATTTAGCCTTATATCCAATTTCAGCCTGCAGGTCACTATGTTTATCCAAAAGGGAAGCATAGAAAAAAGTATTGGTGACTTGAAATTATATTTGTGTCTTTTATAAAGGGTATCCAGTACTATCTTCTCAGCGCAGTGGCTATAGGAAAATGAATTCAGCCAAACTATAGAAGTTCAAAAGTCAATATCAATTACTTTTTCAATTGTGTATGTTAAATCAGGGACAGACTAGTCAATTTCAAGCTGGACACTCTCTAGGGGTCTTGGCAGCAGAGCAAGCCAAGATCTGCTGTTAGGATTCAAAGGCAATGCCATATTCAAGGAACACAGGCAATGCAATAAAAGATTATCTGCTATACAATTTAAAGTACAGAGTATTTTAAGTACTGGGAGAAACATAAGAGAAATGTTACCCAAACACATGCCCATTCTGCCTCCATAAGCTCCTTCAAAACAGCAGACAACATCCTCAGCTGTCCAGATCTCAGTGATCTACACCCGGAGTATTCAACCTTAGCAACTTTGAAATCTGGGGACTTCAACTCCCAGAATTCCTCAGCCAGCCACATTGGAAGTTGAAGTCCATGAGTCTTAAAGTTGTCTAAGTTGGACAGCTTTTTTAAAAATTATGTTTTCCCCCACGAGTTTGGTCCTTGGGCCAAGTGCCAAGGACATCCTTATCTGGGTATGTTTGGGTCTTTGCGGATTTGCTATTAGGGAGTATCCAGGTGCTAGGCAGAAGGTTTATACACATAGCTTTGTGTCAGTTTTCAACATTGGAAACCATCCAAGTACAAACAGGCAAGTGGGGAAAAAAGTAAAATACTTTCAACTGGTTTTGGGAGTATAAAAAATCTGGCATTGTATTTTTCCACTCAATGAGCCTCGGCGCAATGGTTAGAGTGCAGTAGTACAGGCTACTTCTGCTGGCTGTCAGCTGCTTGCAACTTGGCAGTTCAAATCTCACCAGGCTTAAGGTTGGCTTAGCCTTCCATCCTTCCAAGGTGGGTAAAATGAGGACCCAAATTGTTGAGGGAAATATGCTAACTTTGTAAACTACTTAGAGAGGACTGTAAAGTACTGTAAAGCAGTATATAAGTCTAAGTGTTATTGCTATTGCTATCTGCAAATACATTAGGTCAACCAGTTGACTGTTCCACCAACTGTGTTTTTTTAAAAGGGCTTTCATACCCCCAAAGACAGCAGGAACAGAAGTTGCCATTCTGTCACAACCAAAACAGCAATGTAGAATAGGAACCAAGTCCAGGGATCAGCAGGAAGGAAACCTGCATAGCAAACCTACCGGGACAATTTACAGATTTTACAACCCAAGCAAATTATTGCTCTCATCATGTGATCTCAAACAGCCCATTCTCTGTGCAGTGGGTTAAGATGAGTGATCTTCCTTCATTTTTCCAAGAAGAACAGAATACCTTGAACAGGAGCTTCGCCTTGACTTTGCTTTTAAGAAGTTCACAAAAGATGATCATCTGACCCCGGGACATTGCAACTTTCATAAATATATACCAGTTACCAAGCATCCAAATTTTGATCGCCTGACCATGGGGATGCTGCAATAGTTGTAAGTGTGAAAAATGATCATAACAATGGCATTTAACAATAGCATTTAGACTTACCATATTTTTGGAGTATAAGACACACCTTTTTCCCTCAAAAAAGAAGCTGAAAATCTGGGTGCATGTATAAGATCATCTTATACACTGAATACAGCATTTTTGGCTTCCTGAAACCCCATCCCTTCACCAAAATGGCCGTGCATAGCCTTTAGGAGGCTTATAGAGTGCTCCTGTGGGCTGGGGGGGGGAACAGCCTGTTTTACGCTCATTTTTGCTCCCCCCCAGCCCCCAAGA